TCGGTGTTCCAATCTGAGAGGTTTTTATTTCATTCCTGCTACATTTAATTCTCATTAACAACACTTATAAATCAGATGCGACCACCTCTGCTGGGCAACAGTTTAGAGCACATACAGCCATCTCAGCACTAGCATGCCCTTTCACAATGTGGTCCACAACAAGTCCGACAACACACAAGGATGATACATTCACTGTTAACGCAGGATTGGTGGCTGTTCAGCCCCACGGAGGAACAGCAGAGACACAGGAATGGAGAAAAGCACACAACGTGGGACTTCAGTAACAAACATGCAGGGAGATCCAGTTTGATGATCCGGTTTGTTCAGCACAAGCTGCATCGGGGGAACTATAGACAGACAGTAAAGCATCCAATGCAGGATCGTCTATTTATTTATTTATTTATTTATTTTAAATATCTCATAAAAGAAATCGCTGCAGTTATGAGTCTCAAATAATATCAGTTATTAAAAAAACATGTAGTTACCTTTTTAATTCAACAAAAACGTAAATCCCTAATGTGTTTGAAATGAAAATCTGATTGTAGCAGCACGATTTCTAAAAAGAAGAGGTTAGAAAACGTGTGCTGCATTCAGCCACGCTGAGTTTCAGCAACACACCAGAGGTGAAAGCATTTTTCCAGAAGATTTATCACGTCTAAAAGGTGATTTGATATTCTGGTCAGTTCTCACAAAGCTAGACTTACAGCCCGGAAATCCAGACCAACTGTGGCAGCAGCTAAAAGACGCTAATCCCGTTCCACAGGTCTGCCATTGGCCCAAACATTTCTCTGTCTGGCAAATCACAGCACGCTACATTTAGGTGGGCTTAACACTAGCACTGCAACAGAGAAAAACTACAAAGATGGCGCCATCTTGGGAATGGTGCATGTTTGAAACAGTTTTCGCAGCAACCTATGATGATTTAGACTTCAGCTTTCCTTTGAGACGTGCTTAAGCAGTGTAACAGTATGTATGTACTACCGTTACGTATTAAGAATACCAATTATGAGTCACTGTATTCCGTTTGTTAGAATACAGTGACTTTCGTATTACCATTGGAGTACTTGTGTGTTTTCCACTTTCTACCTGAAAGAAGAATGAATAAATTTAGGCTATGTAGTGTAGAATGTCTAGCCCGGTCACGGTCCATGAACAGTCGTGGGGCGGGATCTACGGTTGTCTTTCAAACTGTCTCTGCATGCTATTGGCTAACAAACAACGTACTCACCAATACAGATGTCAGCCAACGAGGACGTTTGCCATATTTTGTCAAAGAAGACACAATTACATCCTTAAGTACCTCCACCTGCTCTTTAGTCAAAGAAAACCCCAAGTCAAACTAGTCCAAAGGTGATTCAGCCTTTTTAAATGAGCCATCGCCATCTTTGTATCAGTGGCATCCCGCTGTGATTGGACCGCTATGGATGTCAGTCAACAGGGCAGTCCGCCTTTACATCGCAAAAGAACTACGTAAAACATAAAAAACATAAAATATTACTTATCGTTTCTAAACAAACACGCTGCGACTGGCCAGGATTCATTTTGAACCCGATGATAAGTTTTGTTTTTACATTTGAGCTTATTTATTTTCTGGTGGTACAAAACGTAAGTTTTAAGTGGATGTGTCGTTGATCGTTCTCATTTGCATAATCATTATTTAAATAGTTTTTTTTACAAAATTATTAAGAAGAAATCTCCGTGAACAAAGTTGAATGGCATGTCCTGTATTCTTTCATGTACTGCTGCTAACATGTTTCCCAACATCACTGTTGCTAGGCAACACAGAGGAAGGGAGGGAATACATTTGAAGGCTGGAAAGTCCAAATTCACAGCCTCTCAGTTGAGGAATACCCAGAGCTACGTAACCCGGGTAGACTTGGTCTTTACAAGGATGCTACCTAGGCGTTTGGACACATTGTCTCTCTGGAAATTTAAGTTTAAATTAGCTTAAAGTAATGAGCTTGTACTTTGTGTTGGGAGTTATATCATATTAGATAACACAGATGAGCTATTGTTACGACTTGAAGAAAGTTTCTGGTTCAATTCCCTTTAAAGCCAAAACGTTTGCTTCTTCTTTGTCTAGAATCAGGATAAACTTGTACCTCTGGTGTGTGAAAACTTAAAAACTTTACACATTAAATCAAAAGTGTCTGAAACGCGGGCGAGCTGACCCTATACACATGGCTTTTATTTTCTATTTGTCACATGAACAAAATAGTTCTTATATTTCAATCTGTTAGATCACTCACTCACTCACTCACTCACTCACTCACTCACTCACTCACAAGAGATAAGGGACTAAAAAGCAGAAAAGAGCAGCAACGTTTCCAGCAAAGGTTAGGAAGAAGAAAGGGACTTGATGCAGAGAGAGGCACAACTTTTGAAAAAGGCCTTAGAGTTTCCGAGGGAGCAGCAGCGAGGCAGGAGCAGATAAACGAAGACACCGAGACACACCATGAGGAAACAACACGACAGATAAAGAAAAACACTTAAAGGAGCATATTTCAATACCAACAGAAGGTTCCAGTGGTACAAATTCGTCTGCACTGATGAGTTAGCAAGAGAGCAAAGCCCTTCATGGAGACCTCGATTTCACAAGATAGATACAGACACGAGAGAGAAGAGGAAGCATTCAGACAAAAATCCTCAAAATTCTCCACTGTAAAAAGCAGAAAATGTAAACTTTTTTTTCTTCTTACATTAGAAATGTAGCTGCTGAAGATGCCAGTTTTCACCAAAATACTTTATTATTACTGTTTATCCCCCCTATGGCCTTGTCCTTCTTGCAAATGGCAGCAAAAGGCTTAAAGATCAACAACCTTCCAAATGGATCACATACTGGAAAAGATGTCAAACCAGTCTGAATTCAGAAAATAGTGGCACGCTAATTTAAGGAGCACTAGATGATTTTTCTGCACTCAATTAGATATGACTACAGTTCTGCAGTGGAGCTTTCAGCCTGCTGTTATGGAGGAGGAGGAGGAGGAGGAGGAGGAGGAAGAGGCAGCACACAGGAAACTGATAAAGAGGCAAGAATGAAGGGAATGCAGCATGCTAAGGGACATGATGCAAGCCCTACACACACACACACACACACACACACACACACACACACACACACACACACACATACACACACACACACACACACACACCCCAGATCAAAAACAAAAAGAGGTCAAAGTTCATGAGTGAGTGCAAATAAATTAAACCACTATTAGTGTTTCTGATCAATTTTCTGGACTTTTTCATGTAGAATGAAATGATGAATTTATTATTTATAAATTACAATTTTGCGCATCCTAAAGCTCGGACTGTATAGTTTTTTATTGCTAATGGTCACCGCTTAGGTCATCCTCTAGATTATTTACAGCTCGCAGTAGACACAATGACACAACCATCAACAGTGTCCAGAAATTAGAAACTCATCTCCTTCTACCTCAAATAGTGAATTATTGAAATGTTTAGACCAGTAAAGCTGGACTATACAGACCATAGATGATGGAACAACATTAGACAGATCTGATTGTCACTGGGACGTGCATATCAATACACTGAAATATCACAGTACTTTTTTTATGATACCGAATTGAAATTTAAAAGCATTCTATCAAATTTTCATTAAGAAATTACTGCAAATATTTACTGTACTTCTTATGTGTAGCGCAATAATGCAATTCAACCTCCAACCACTAGCTGGCACCAGTTTTTACTGCTTTCATTCTGACAAAAAGAAATCACACAAAAGGGCTTGTGATCGTGACGTCATCACCGACGCAGTCGCCCCGTTGGAGGCGTGTGAGTCTCTACTTGTTGCTTGTTACTATTGTAAACAGCGTGCTCAGTCTTGTTCTTGCAGCTGAAATGATCGGTTACATTAAACAACTTTAGTAAATCGTTGCTGTGTTGTCGGGTAACACGTGTGATCTCCAGGGGAATAAAGGCGGAAAACAAGCTAACTTTTCACCATTTTCCTGCTTAGAGATAAAACCACGGAGACCAAGAGTCTAGCATAGCAAAGTCTCCTCGACTCACTTAGATCGCTGCTGTAAGGCGGCCAAACATCACCTTCCAGAGTGTTTTCATTCTGGCAAGTCACAGATGGTGTGCATTTTATTTCATAGGGCAGCAGTAACTCAGGAGGTTGAGAGGGTTTCCAGTAATTGGAAGGTTGCAGGTTCGATCCCAGCTCCGGACAGAGAATTCTGCCATTGTGTTCTTGGGCTAGACAGTTAACCCACTTTGCCTGCTGATGGTGGTTGGAGGGACCGGTGGCGCCTGTAATTGGCAGCCTCGCCTCTGTCAGTGTGCCCCAGAGAAGCTGTGGCTGCATTGTTGCTCATCATCATCAGCGTGTGAGAGTGTGTGTGAATGGATGAATGGTACACTGTAGTGTAAAGCACTTTGGAGTCCTCTGATTCTGAAAGGTACTCTACAAGTGCTGGTCAATTATCATACATTGTTTCTTTCTTTCAGCTGCGACATGCACACACACACACACACACACACACACACACACACACACACACACACACACACACACACACACACACACACACACAGGCTACACTCACATACCAGTAAGCTAATGCGGGTGTACTGACACACAACACAACTTCTCTTGCAACACTTCTTGCATGGGATGACAATTTTGATTGTTTTACTAGAAAAACCAGCAAATAAAACATTTTCCTCTCATCCGGACATTTACATCCGCTCAAACCACAACAAAGATAACCGAAAACATCAACGATATGTCATCGGTGCTCCAGTCTTAGATACAAACAATTTATACCGCTGATTTTGTCCACAAACCGGTCCTCAACATCTTTATTTAACATATCCCTGTGTATTCTGCATCCTTTTGGGGATTTTATAATGTTGTTTAACACTTTCTTTCACCCAAATCCACTTCTTCTCTGCGACAGTACTGTTTGTTTACATTTGGTAAGCTTCCAACATGTCCGCGCACATCCCAGAATGCTATGCGAAATCACGTGTGATCACAAGCCCTATAACACTAGATGTGTCTTGGATACGTTTGGCCTGAGTTTTTAATTAAATTCAGTCTAAGTAAAATGCAAATATCATCTAGCTTTTAGTATCCCCTGTGATTGTATCTTGCCAAGACACACTCCTTCTCTGCCACATGTGCTTCAATATATGAAAATAAAAACAAAAGGAAGAAAAAAAGAGAAAGGCACAGGAACATCAGATCTGCACTCAGGTATTTAGAGCAGAAAACTACCTAAAGTGTAAAGGACCCCATTAGCTGGTTGTGCTGCCATTTTTTATGCCTCACTAACTAAAAGATGTCCAGCACAGGAAGCACAAGCTGCCATAAAGCCAACATTGGTCATTTCATATAGAAATTATGATAGAGGTTAGCTTTAGAGGTGCTGTTCTTCCTTCAGTCAAGCATCGTTGAAAAAACATCTATCCTCATTTATGGACAGAAGGCCAAAAGGAGAATAAAATGCTCCCCAAATGTCCTTAACTAGTCAAAAAAATGCACTCAGATTTTCTCTCTTGCCTGGTGAGAGTCTGTTTGACCAAACATGGGTGGAAAACCAGAACTTTGTTCCTTCAGAAACTCACAGTAATTGCCACAGACATGCGTAGACGCCCCATGGACTGGCACTGCCTACTGCCGTTCGGCCGCCATTTTAGATGGGTCTCCATTCGACCCCCGTGCATTCATTTCCACTGAGGAAGGGACTTACCCAACTAAAAAGCACATTTTATCAAGCTTTTTCTCTAAATCAGACACAAAGTATGGCATAATTAAAATATAAATATGATTAAACAAAATGAATAGAAATACATTTAAATATAAAATCCTGTAAAGTATGCTGGAAAAGTCACGAGTAATCCCACGTGATCTGATTTCAGTACGCTGGTTGTTGTAACCGTACGCTGCACGGAAACGGGCAGAGTTGCTCACTCTGCATTGACTTTGGAGAGTGAGTGGACCCATCCAATATGGCGGCGACGCTGTTACGCTCTCCAGCGCCCAGATCACAGCCTAGACCAAGGGTGGGGAACCCTGGTCCATTGAGGGCCGCTATCCAGCATATTTTAGTTTCAACCCTGCTTCAACACACCTGATTTCAATCAGCAGGTGATTAACAGGCTTCTGCAGAGCCTGATGAGCTGCTGAACAGGTAAATCAATCACTGAATCAGAAGTGTTGGAGCAGAGACATGCAGGATACCGGCCCTCGAGGAGCAGGGTTCCCCACGCCTGGCCTAGACTGACATGTTAATAGCAGTAAAATGGAGGCCGGTGGGCCAGAGCTAAGTTACTTACTGCTATGCTAAAGCATGTCAAACTGACTGAAAGGTTGTTGGAAGTTTAAGCCTTTTGCAGCTTTGGTGCAAGCTTTTGAAGACTGCATGAGTGAAGCAGCCTAGAGTCGAACTGAGCTGTTGACTTACAGAGTTTTATCCCCACTGATGATCATTTCTTATGGATTCCTGCAACAGCACCAACAGTTTAGTTAGGAAACGGGCAGCTGAAGCACGTTAACCTGATATTCCTGATGACTCTCCTCCATACATCTACAGCTCAGGTAAACTGCTCTTGTTCTTTACCAGGTGTTTTAGTCCAACCTGAAAGAATACCTACAGCGTGTTTATGGCTATATTTATCAACAATAAAATCATCTATATGACTAAAAGGACAGCTTTTACTGTTTTTGTGGTACTGCAATAATTTATGGTTCATTAATGAGAAGATATTCAGCAGGCTGAGTAAAAACCTAGTAAATAACAGTCTGTCCTAAGCTGGCGTCTACATGAGGACATTGGCACGAGTGTCAGGTAGCCGGAGCCCCACCAGTCCACCGCCAACGAGCACGGCCGATGCCAGCAGAATGGGAATAGCCTTGGTGATGCCAACCAGCGAGCCGAAGATCAGGTTGCCCAGCACTGCTGCCAGCTTACATATGGCATTGCAGAAGCCAAATCCCGTCCCTCTGAACACAAAGACACAAAGAAGACAGTCAGAAATGGACAGAGTGTGTGTCTTATACTTCTAACTGATCAACCCATGGAAAATTTGATTTAGGTTCTTTGCTCCCTTTATTTCACCCAGTCAGGCTTCTGGATTGAATTAGAATCTGATAATTAGGACAGATAATTTCTGGATATGAAGTACGATTTACCGGTCAATCTACGTTCCTCCCCCATCTATGGCCATGAGCGCTGGGTAGTGACTGATTGTGGGTACAAGCGTCCGTAATTACTTTTCTGGGTGTCTGGGCTTTCCCTTAGAGATAGGATGAAAGGCTTTGGGAGGGGCTTGGAGTAGATCCGTTGCTCCTCCACATCGAAAGGGGCCAGCTGAGGTGGCTGGGACATCTGTTTAGGATTCCTCCTGCATGTATCCCTGATGAGATTTTCCAGGCATGTCTACTTGGGATGAGACCTAAAGAAAGGGCCCAGGACACGATGGAGGGACTATGTGTCTCATCAGGCCATGGAACGCCTTGGGATTTCCTCTGAGTTGGCCCAAGTGGCTGGGGAGTGGGAAGTCTGGGCCTCTTTGTTTAGGCTGCTGCCCCCGTGACCTGACTTTGAATACGTTAATGAAAATTGATGGATGGATGGACGAAGTACCACCAGCTGAACTGTTGTCAAACTGTAAAACCAGGGTTTCACCCATGAGTTTGACCAACTAGGCAGCTTTATTCATTTAACCCATTTCACGCACAGTGGTGGTTCCCTGTGTTTTGGAGAACAGAGAATGATGTAAATCTTATTTTGTAAAGACAACAGTACAGAAGACGGTTCCTTTTCCTAATATATATGTTTTCTCTTATAACAGCTTTACTTATTCAGGTACTTGTACTGTATATTCTGCATATCCTGACCAGACCATGATGCCCCATACACTCTGCACCTCAGACAGTACATCTCCCCCACACCAGGAGTTGGCAATCAACTCTTTTTGAGAGCAATGACCTTGAATTCATCCCAGCTGGTTGAAGCTCCAAATCAGCGCCTTTTTAAGAGGATTGGGATTCTGTGGGTCCAACAGGGCCCAACTCAAACCTTGTGGGAGAGGGTGCTTTGGAGGTTTCGTTGAATTGGAGCGGGCATCAAAGAAAAAAAGTGGGCCCCGAATAACTGAAAAAGGGGAGAGTATAGCTGTTTGCTAACAAAATAAGGGTTGAAAATATGAAACGAAAGCACAGAAAGGAAAATTTAACACAAGGAAAACTATAAAATCATTACGAACAGTCAGACTTACTGAATAGTGCATAAAGCTTTTGAAAGAGATAGAGTAGACGCAGAGCCGTGCAGAGACCTTTCAAGGGGAGGGTGCTCAAAGGTAAAAAGGGAAATATATGGAGCAAGATTTTTAAACAGATTTATTATCCAACAAGTTTCTGAACGTTCAGATAAAATGAGACCCTGGGGTTCAAACAAAATAATGTAAACTAGGAAAAATATGTCATTTAGTGTCATTAATTGAAGGTATTGCTATTTCATTAATCCATCCATCCATCCATCTTCTGAACCCGCTTGGTCCACGTAGGATCACGGGGGGGCTGGTGCCTATCTCCAGCAGTCAACGGGCAATCAGGCAGGGTATATCCTGGACAGAGAGCCAGTCCATCGCAGGGCAACACAGAGACACACAGGACAAACAACCATGCACACACACAACTAAGGACAATTTAGACAGACCAATCAACCTAACAGTCATGTTTTTGGACGGTGGGAGGAAGCCGGAGTACCTGGAGAGAACTCACGCATGCACAGGGAGAACATGCAAACTCCATGCAGAAAGATTCCAGGCCGGGAAGCGAACCCAGGACCTTCTTTCTACAAGGCAACAGCTCTAACCACTGCGCCACTGCGCAGCCTGCTATTTCATTAATAACTAACTTATTTTTAGGGACCACATTTTATTGCCCCTGATCCATGTCCGAGTTATTAGCTTTTGAGTATTATCCAAAGTCTGTCCGTAAAAGTTGTGAACAAAAGAAATGAGAAAATCCATCCCCAACCAGTGTTCTGCCTCCAAAAGTGAGCATCAGGGTTGATGCTCCTCAACTCTCTCACCTCCGGTCTGTCGGGTACAGCTCGGCCGTGACCACATCCAGTGAGTTCCAGGCTGAGATACTGAGGCCGTTGTAGAGACAGAGCATGAAGATCATCATGGACTCGCTGGTGCCGAACCAAAGGAAGAAGCAGCTGATGCCTGATAGCACCATGGAGCCTCCTGCAGGACAGCATGGGGATAACCGTTTACACATCAGAGGTCACTGCAGATGCAAAGACCAACATCACAAGACTTTGAGACATTTCACAAAAGGACAAGCTACTGATATTCTAGATCAAAAGTCAGAGAATATCCTCTTCTCCAGAGAATGTCCTACCTAACATGCTAAGACGTCCAATCTTGTCCATGAGTAGAGCTGAGATGATGTTACCGGGCAGCACAGCCAGCGTCCCCAGGAAGTTGACAAAGTAGACCCAATAGGCACTGTAGTCATCATCAAAAGTCATCTGACATCCTGTCTTGTTGTGATGGAAGGAGCTGTTGATCACCTTTGAACTTTTCAACTTGTTGTCATCGATATCTGTAACGGGACAGACAAGGACGCTCCGCCTGTTCACAACTTCACGTAAACCTTTTGTGGTTTTTGGTCCAGCTGAAGCTGACACTGAACAACTAATAAAACCTCAAATGAATGAATATAAATAAGGGAATAAAAGTATATGATTAATTGAAAAGAAGGGAATTATTTAACTATGTTTAGTGACAGCAGTTGCTCAAGAGGTAGAGCAGGTTGTCCAGTAATCAGAAGGTTGCAGGTTCAATCCTAGCTCAAACCAGGGAATGCTGTTGTTGTGGCCTTAAGCAAGACACTTAACGCGCCTTGCCCACTGGTGGTGGTCAGAAGGACCGGTGGCGCCTGCCTGTGTCCGGCAGCCTCACCTCTGTCAGTGCGCCCCAGGGCAACTGTGGATAGCTACATTGTAGCTCATCACCACCAGTGTGTGAATGTGTGAGTGAATGATTGTATTGTGAAGATTGTAGAACCTTAAGAAGGTGCTATACAAATACAGGCCATTTACCATGTTTAGAAACAAACAAATAAATAAAGGTTGTAATTATTAATTTTAACATGTATCTTTTTTTTCATATTTATTTATTTATTTATTTACTGTCTGTTCTGGAAGGAAGAGTGTGCCTTACTGGACACACTGCTGGTAATAGAGACTTTATTTCCCACAGGGTTTCACCACCAAGCCCAACATGGCCTCAATGTCTCCACGTTCCAGCGCTTCCCTGGGAGCTACCGGAGAAACTGTTTTTCCACTTGGAGCTCCCATGGGTGCTGATTCAGCACCACTTTCCTCAGATCATTTCACGCCTCTGCTGCTTTTGTTCTGCATCACATTTCAGCTCCCAAAATCAGTCTAGAGTATGGCTGAAATTCACTCATTTAGATGAAGATGATGATGGTGATGATGGTGATGGTGGTGATAATGAAGATAATGATGATGATGGTGATGGTGGTGATAATGAAGATAATGATGATGATGGTGATGATGATGATGATGTTATGATGATGGTGATGATGATGTTGACGGTTATGATGATGATGGTGATGAGGGTGATGATGATGATGGTGGTGATAATGAAGATAATGATGGTGATGGTGATGATGAGGATGATGATGATGGTGATGATGATGATGATGATCATGATGATCATGATGCTGGTGATGATGATGATGATGATGATGATGATGATGATGATGATGAAGATAATGATGGAGATGGTGGTGATAATGAAGATAATCATGATGCTGGTGATGATGAGGATCATGATGGTGATGATGATGATGTTGATGATGATGATGATGATGATGATGATGATCATGATGCTGGTGATGATGAGGATCATGATGATGATGATGGTGATGATAATAATGAAGATAATGATGGAGATGGTGGTGATAATGAAGATAATGAGGGTGATGATGATGATTATGATTATGATGATGATGATGATGGTGATGATGATGATGATGATGATGATGATGATGATGATGATGATGATGATGATGATGTGATGGTGATGATGATGATGATGTGATGGTGATGATGATGATGATGATCATGATGATGATGATGTGATGGTGATGATGATCATGATGATGATGGTGATGATGATGTTGATGATGATGATGATCATGATGCTGGTGATGATGATGACGATGATGATGGTGATGATGATCATGATGCTGGTGATGATGATGATGATGATGAAGATAATGATGGAGATGGTGGTGATAATGAAGATAATGATAGTGATGATGATAAGGGTGATGATGATGATGATGATGATGATGATGATGAAGTAAAAATATTTCATATTTCTTTCAAATGTGAATATTCTTAAAAATGATCAACATTTTCTTGTTTTGAGTGAACAATCTACCAACAGGGTAAGCAACAGCCGATTGGCTAGAACTCTTAAAACTAGTTCCAGGGGAATCCTAAGGCCAAACTAATTTCAAGAGCTCTAGCCAAACAGCCGTTGCTTACTCTGCTGGCAGATTATTTTTAATCATAATTAAGAATATTCACCGTTTTTAGGTAATGCTATTTTTCTAGAAATGTTTTTTTTTCTTTTTAGACAAAGACAAAGTGCCTAAAATAGTTTTTTAGAAACATTCTTGGAAATAATTTTGCAGTGTAGCTATGTTATAACATTGTTAAGAGGCTTTAACGTACACTTCAGCACCTGTTGTGTACTTTTGCAAGCTGCAGAGCAGACGATGCATTATTTAACAAGTTTCACATGTTGTGACAGAATCAATTCATGTTTTGAAGTCAAGAATGGTACTCTTATTGTGAAGGGTCTAAAGATTTTCAGCACATCTCAAGAGTTTAAACCAATCAGCCTCTTCTTTCACAAGTTCTAGGGTTTAACCATGAAAACCTGTCATTTAAAAACTGTCATTTCCTTATTTAAGATGAAAATCTGCTTTTAAGTCATGCTCATTTATAAAGTGTTAAGCAAAGGTTTACCACACATCCATTTTCTGTGTGTGAGAACATTTCACACCAACAGACTCACCAGTGTTGTAAAAGAAAGAGTCCACGAAGGTACAGTTTTTGAAAATGGATCCTACTGAGGAGACATCTTCAAAGTAGCAGTTGACAAAAGAAGAGTCGATGAAAGTGACCACCTTGAACTTCATACCAATGAACCTGGAAAGAGATTGTGGGGTGTTTTGTAAAGAAGGACAAACCGGTAAAGCAGGATTCATCTGAGACTCGTAATTTACTCTGACACCAGAAATGCTGATGCTGACTTGTTTCCTTTTAAAAGATGTAAGTGTCGGTTCTGTATCACCCAAATGCAGAGTCACTATTTTCACTGAAGTAGAAATAAATTGCTTCTGTGTATTCAGACTGTCACATTTCTGCCTTTTATTCTACCCTACAGGGGAGGTAAATACCTGAAACTTACAGTGAAAGTAAAACAATGGCAAAGACATGGAAAAGATTTAAACTTTAATAACTTTTAAAAAATGTTGTCATTTGTAATATTTGTTCTGTTTTGAGTTCAAACTTGGGATTTATTTATTATTTTTTTCTAAACTGTGCTTATGTTGTTATATTTTCTGAATCGGATGAAACCAACAGCGGTAAAACCAAAGACAATTGGATCATCCTTGCTTCATGTTGTCTTTTGTGGTGGTTGGGGAACCTAAATCATGCCCATCTCCTTCCTGATCATGGGTCCTGCTGTCCAAAAGGATGAATGGGAGTCTACGAGCTGCTAAAAGTTAGTTTCTGATGATGTTTGATATGTGTCATGTATTTAACATATGATGCCAGTGAATTTAAAGATCCATTTTGATGCCAAGAAGGCGCCTTTTTTAGAAGGCAACAATTTTTTTTGGTTTTGTGTGAAAACTACTTTTGTCGGGATGTGCTCCTGCAGCATCTTGTGTCTATTGTCTCATCTCTGCTCTGGTATTGTTCCCTCATCACCGTCAGAGATGAGCCCGATGAGGGTGGTGTCGTCCGCAAACTTGATCAGTTTAACAGAGTCATGGCTCGAGGTGCAGCAGTTTGCGTACAGGGAGAAGAGCAGAGGAGAAAGTACACAGCCCTGTGGAGATCCTGTGCTAATTGTCTTAGTGGTGGAAACATTCTTCCCCAGCCGCACGCACTGCCTACGGTCCGTCAGGAAGTCAGTGATCCACCTGCAGGTGGAGTTGGGTACGTTGAGCATGGAGAGCTTGTCCTGGAGCAGAGCAGGGAGGATGGTGTTGAACGCAGAGCTGAAGTCCACAAACAGGATCCTAGCGTAGGTTCCCGGGGAGTCCAGGTGCTGCAGGATGAAGTGGAGGGCCAGGTTGATGGCGTCGTCTACAGACCTATTAGCTCTGTATGCGAACTGCAAAGGGTCCAGGAGGGGGGAGGTGAAGGACTTGAGATGAGGGAGGACCAGGCGCTCAAAAGACTTCGTGACTACAGACGTCAGCGCCACAGGCCTGTAATCATTCAGTCCAGTGATACGGGGTTTCTTAGGGACAGGGACAATGGTGGACAGCTTAAAGCAGGCTGGAACATGGCAGGACTCCAAGGAGATGTTAAAGATGTCCGTGAAGATTGGACACAATACCTATGCGCAGTGTCTCAGGGTAGCGGGGGAGACACCGTCCGGGCCCGGGGATTTCCGTGGGTTTTGCTTACGGAAAAGTCTAAGCACATCCTCTTCTGTCGGTGGTCAGCGGGGACTGTACTATTCACAGTGGTGAAGGTGGTGGGGGAGGCATGTGACACCAGAGTGGCTGAAGAAGCCTGTGCAGTAGGGGGTGTGGGGGATGGGTGTTGCATTTCAAACCTTGCATAAAAGGAGTTAAGTTGTTCAGCCAGTTGTAGATCGTCAGCAGCATGTTGGGCCCTAGGCTTGTAGTTGGTGATTTGCCTGAGCCCTCTCCAGACAGAGGCGGTGTCATTGTCAGAGAACTGCTCCTTTAGACGCATACTGTACCGGGATCTAGCCTTTTTCAACTCTTTTGAGAACTGGTACTTGGCACCCTTGTAGCTTTCTCTGTCCTTGGCTCTGTGGGCTGTTTCTTTCTCCCTCCTCAGCTGTCTCAGTTTGGGTGTGAACCAGGGCTTATCCTTGTTAAAAGTGACCCTGGTTTTTGTTGGAATAATGCTGTGCTCACAGAATTTTATGTATGACGTCACAGTGTCTGTATATTCATCCAAGTTGTCTGTGGCAGATCCAAACATGTTCCAGTCTGTTGTGTCCAGACACATGCGAAGCTCCTCCACAGCCTCGCAGGTCCACTTCTTAGAAGTTCTCACTGCAGGTTTGGAGAGCTTCAGCCTCTGCCTATATGAGGGGATGAGGTGAATCATGGCGTGGTCTGAGAAGCCGAGAGCAGCTCACTGCACGGCTCGATAAGCTCCACTGACTGTGGTGTAGCAGTGGTCCAGCGTGTACTGCCCTCTTGTCGGGCATTTAACAAACTGTTTGTACTTAGGCAATTCCTGGATCAGATTTCCCTTGTTAAAGTCACCGAGGATAATAACTAGAGAGTCCGGAAAGGTCTGTTCCACACTTAGGATCTGCTTCGCGAGCGCACGTTGAGCCTCGTGCACGTCCGCACCAGGCGGGATGTAAACAGCGGCCAGAATGAATGAAGCGAACTCACGTGGGGAGTAGAATGGCTTACAGTTTATGAAGAGGAATTCCAGGGCAGGAGAGCAGTACTGGGAAATCACAGTCACATCCGAACACCAGGCATTGTTGATGTAGAAGCAGACACCTTTCCTCCGGATAAGACCCGCTGTCTGTCTGCGCGGAGGAGCTGGAATCCCTCCAAATGGAGCGCGCCGTCCGGGGTCTGCTCGCTGAGCCACGTCTCCATGAAGCATAAGACAGAAGAGGAAGAAAAGTCTCTGTTTCGTCTCATCAGCAACGCCAGTTCATCCGTCTTGTTGCTAAGTGAGTGGACATTGGAGAGGAAGATCCCAGGTAAGGGCGTCCGTGAGCCGCGTCTTCGTAGATGCACGAGCACTCCCGCACATTTCCCCCTCCTACGGCGTCTCAATTTCTTGATTAAAAAGTGGACCAAATCCGCCACACCCACTAAAAAAACTGGAAGTAGGTCCGTTGGCGTTGATTTTCTGACGTTTAGAAGCTCTTCACGGGTGTAAGAGCACGCTGACACACAATTTGCAGACAAAAACAAACAAAACACGACGCACGTTAGCACCAGGGCCTTCCTCGGCGCCATCTTGGTTGATTAAGAAGCAAGGTATTGATTTTAAGATATGTTTATACTTATTGTACACCTTTGGTAACTCAACCTATGTTGTGACTCTGTGAAAAAGGCTTTTTGAATGAAATTTACTGACTTACATTTAGCACACCGAAGGTTTTTCAGCTCCTGTCTAAAGCTTTACCACCATTAAACATGTTTCATGTGGTTTTAGCAGCATCAGAGATTTGAATCAGCCAAGAAAAGCTCAAGGCTACAAAAATAACAGAATCAGCATGTTCGGACGGGACTGTGTGTGTGTGTGTGTGTGTGTGTGTGTGTGTGTGTGTGTGTGTGTGTGTGTGTGTGTGTGTGTGTGTGTGTGTGTTGTACCTGTCGTTCATAAAGGCTCCATTCCTGTGAATCTGGTTCTCCAGTGTGAAGTTGAAGGTGAAGTCTTCAATGCGTTCATTGTTGTGAATCTTCACTCTGGAGGCGTACTCATCAGCCTGAAGGTGCTTGATCACATCTGGGAACCACACCGACAGACCATAATACCTGCAAGAACGGCAATCTGTTCATATGGGTAGTCATGTGAGGGGTTGGTCATCATGGAAAAATTGTTTTGTTTCTGAATTATGAAAAAATTCCAAAAATGTATGGATTCATTATGGAAATTAAATAAAAACAAACATAAATAGATCTAAAAATATGACTGGTTCTTTTATTGGTCACATTTGGTAAGTTGGGATCTGGTCACCCTAACGCGCGCACACACACAGAGAGAGAGAGAGAGAGAGAGAGAGAGAGAGAGAGAGAGAGAGAGAGAGAGAGAGAGAGAGAGAGAGAGAGAGAGAGAGAGAGAGAGAGAGAGAGAGAGAGAGAGAGAGAGAGAGAGAGAGAGAGAGAGAGAGAGAGAGAGAGAGAGAGAGAGAGAGAGAGAGAGAGAGAGAGAGAGAGAGAGAGAGAGAGAGAGAGAGAGAGAGAGAGATCTGTGCTACAGACAGAACTTTACTCAACAGCATCCAGCATGAAAATGAACCGGAGGTGAGCTAAACCTGTTAAAAAATTGGTTTATCGGGTTTGATCTGCCCAGGCACCCTCCTGTCTGCCTGTCCCTCCCTTTCATGCCTGTGATGTTCAGTAACCCTAACCCATCACAGCAGAGATAATAACAAAGCAGGTCCCTGAGGTCCAGTGATCAAAGCCTACTGGTTGTGCAGCACCAGGCTAAAGACCAAAGGTGACAGATCATTTGCTGCTGTGGCCCCCAGACTCTGGACCTCTCTCCCCCTGAGCCTGAGATCAGTGGACTCGGTGGTCTCCTTTAAAAAGCAGCTGAAGACTCACTTGTTCAAGCTGGCTTTTGTATGACCTTCATCACCATTCTCTCTTTATTCTGCTCTCCCCACCTATCCCACCTTCCTCAGGATCCACTGATTTCCCTCTTTCCTATTCACTCTCTCTTTCTTAACATTTAGTTTTTTAATCACAATAGTCTATTTTTTGCTCAGTTTAAACATATTTTTAATCATTTTCTAAATTCTTTTTTTTATTTTTACATATTGTGTTTGTGAAGCGCCTCATGATTTTTATCTTGAGAGGCGCTATAGAAATGATACTTTCTTCTTCTTCTTCTTCTTCTTCTTCTTCTTCTTCTTCTTCTTCTTCTTCTTCTTCTTCTTCTTCTCCTCCTCCTCCTTCAAAGAGCTTTTAGCACACAGCAGCTTGTTGCTCACCCAAACGACAGCGTGAACCAGACAGCAGCCAGCTTCGTAGTGTTGTCTTTCACTGGGTGGTTGAAACATCTCATGAAGGTCAACCAGATCTATGAGGAGAGGAACACTATTAGTGAACTTGAATCATTAAACTGATGTCATAAATAAACAAAATGAAGAGTAAAGCAGCGTCATACCCCTCTGAGCTCAGCCTTGATCTTGAAGAGGACCTTGAGGACGGGGTTGGCTGATTCGTTCTGCATCTCCACCAGCTCATCCAGCTGTTTGGGGACCTTTATCCTGTTCACCTGCAGGGGGCGACACTGATCTGAGACCTGCTGCTGAAGGGCTGCAGCAGTGGCTGGACGAATGAGACACTCACAGTGAAGACTCTCTCAGGCTCCCCTCGAGCTCGCATGTTGGTGTCGTGGATGTGTTTGAGCACCATCCAGGCCTCATCGTGTTTCCCCGTCTAGGAAACAACAACATACACATTATGATTTTATAAGTACGGCAAGTCATTTTGATATTTAGTCAGCAGAACAGGCATTTCAGATATCCACAAAATGGCCAGGTACTTAATGTTACAGCATTTGAAATACTTTTGGATAATGTTACTTGTTTTCTTTTAGTATTTAAACTGTAAAACTGTAAATGTTTATTTGATTCTGAAACTTCTGCAAACTCACCATAGAAAGCAAATTCCACGGTTTAAATGGTAAAATGGTAAATGGCCTGTATTTGATATAGCGCCTTCTAGAGTCCTGGAACCCCCCAAGGCGCTTTACAACACAATCAGTCATTCACCCATTTACACACATTCACAGACACATTCACACGCTGGTGCGGATGAGCTACAATGTAGCCACAGCTGCCCTGGGGCGCACTGACAGAGGCGAGGCCATCGGATAAGAGAAATACTCCGGAAAGAAGCTTTAAGCCAGGTAAGTCCAATGTGTGGCCCGGGGGCCACTTGCGGCCGTCAACCTGATTCTGCCCATAACTGATTTTCAGTAATAGCAGAGTGCTGTGTCTCCAGTTGATGTTCCATTCAATAAAAATATTTTTTCATATTTAAAATGTTAAAAACGAATCCAAGAGTTGGTCCTTTAAAAATCACCTTTTTTTATTTTATCTTAATTTCTTCATAAACTGGACCACAGTGCCTCACATTTGACTAAATCCAGCAAACAGAAGAAAGAGGGACCCAGATCATTTTTCTTGTAATAGACTAAGATGAAAAAAATATATAAATAAATAAATAATTAAAAAATAGACTAAAATGAAAATTTAACCCCCCCCCAAAAAAAAAAACCAGAGAAAACCATCTATTAAATCTCATTAAGTCTCACGTCTACAAGGTTTCACAGATTGTTTCTGCAAAAATAAATAAATAAAAGTTGTTTTTATGAATTTATTACATGTTAAATGTTTAATTGAGCAGATCCAGAAAAATATCAAAATAATTTGGTTTTATTTGGAAAAATATCTAATTTTTGTGACCTGTGAGTATTTCCCAGCAGTTTGGACATCCGTCTCAAACACACCGATTCAACGCTGTTCTCGTTCTTTACAAGAACATTTAACAGTAAACAGACTCGATGCTCTTTAAACAAAACGTCAGGTCTGCTGCTCGAATAATCCTCTCAGAGTTTTACCTCCAAGAAGAAACGAGGGCTCTCCGGCATAAAGGTGAGTGCTACGACTGCAGAGACACAAGGCAGCGCACAAACCACCACAAACACTCTCCAGCTGTGGAACTGGTAGGCCGATCCCATGCTGAAACTCCAGCCTGCACACCCAAAGTCCCACAGACAGACACAAAAGGTCAGTGGAAATAATGAGGTGCTCCATCAGGTGATCCGTCCAACCTAATAACATGAAAAACACAAGAAAACTAAATGAAACAGCCATAACTAGTCACTTTTACTCAGGCTAGTGAAAGTCTCTGACAGATAAACATACATTTTCAGCTGAAACTAATTAACCTTTAAGTCCACCTTGTCCTCCGTGTCACTGCACATGATCTTCTCTTATCAGTCTTTTCTCTACATTAATTAACAGCAATAAAACGATCAGAATTTCATCTTTCTTTGCATTTTCTTTGAACAATTGTAAAATGATTGTTTGTGATTAAACTGCTGTTAACGAACATGTGTAGATTTTGTTTACTATTAATAATCCAATCTTTGATTTCCACCTTAATCTTGTGTGTGTGTGTGTGTGTGTGTGTGTGTGTGTGTGTGTGTGTGTGTGTGTGTGTGTGTGTGTGTGTGTGTGTGTGCTGCTCTATCTGTCATAAACTCACCAAGATTCATGTCCTGAAACCACAAGAAGAGAGAGCAGCTGCAACACACACACTCGCACACACACGCACACACACATACACACACACACACACACACACACACACACGCACATGACTGCACACACACATATGCAGACACACACATACACACACATGTACACACTCGCACACACACACACATGCAGACATGCACACGCACACACACACACGTATGCAGACACACACACGCATGCACACACACACACACACACACATGCACACACACACACGTATGCAGACACACACACACTCATGCACACAAACACACACACACACACACATGTACACACACACGCAGACATGCACACGCACGCACGCACACACGCACACACGTATGCAGACACACACATGTACACACGCACACACACATGCACACGCACACACACGCACACACACACGCACACAAGTATGCAGACACACACACGCATGCACACACACACACATGTAGACACGTATGCAGACACACACACACGCACCCACACACATATACACACATGCAAGCACATGCACACACACACATGCTCATTTCTGCACACACGTGCACACACACGTATGCAGACACACACACACTCACATGCACTCATGTGCGCGCACACACACTGTCCTTGGCCACTGTTTATGTCCTGACATGGATTATAAGGTGCGTCTGTTGGACAACAGCAGCTCAGGCTCTTTTCCACACATCACCTGTCAAAGCGGTGGTTCCTCGCTGTCTTCCTGCTCGTTTTCTCTATCAGATCTTCTACACCGTTAAACACACTCACACTTATCTGGCCTCTGTCCACCAGTCAATGCTGGGAGCACTGCGGCGGAACGTATCACCCACACGCCGCTGCGTCTTGAAGAAAAAGTGTGTTAAAAACTGGCGTTGGATCAACTGAACTCAGTTATGAGCCACATTTGTCCAAATTTCAGGCCCCACAGGACACAAACATTTAGGACATGTAGGTGATGCAGTAGAAAAGTGTCTCTACAGATTTCGTCTGTTTGTTCTCATTTTTTAAGATCAGCAAACAAACGTCATACAAAGATACTCAAAGAAAATACACAGTGTTCTTTTCTTAGGGTGATTTCATTTAGTGAATAAAAACTTTGTTCTGCAGGTTGGTCTAGCCACACTCCCTTAGAGCCTCAGCAGGTCTACCATTGGACAGAACAGTTTTATAAACCTGACTGTTTTCTGAATCAAAACGAAGTGTGTACAATCCTTTAATAAATAAATAATCCTAGAATCTTCTGATTAAAGCACAATAAAAACCAAGCAGGGTGATATTCTATATTTAGATAGAGTACCACAGCCTATTGGTCATAAGTAGAGGTAATATATATACTGAGCTCTTAAAGTAGTCAATTTACCAAACCCTACATACAGTATTGTCAACCAGCCACACTTTATTAGAATTGTCCACTTCGTGTTGGTTCTGATTAATTAACTCTTCAAAGCTATTAATTTCTGTGTCTGGTTGGGAAAAAAAAAATTGGGGCAATCTCGTTATTCACCACATGGGGGAGCTACTCTCCTTGCCACCCAAAGTCTGTCTGTCTATATGAGAGCTTCATTTGAGCTAAACTGCAGGTAATTAACTATTTGTTAATATTTGAAGATAAATACATTTATGTGTGTGAGTTTGTGATGTCTTTTGAGTGATTATGCTACATTTATTTGTGTGGTTTTGTCACTGTTGAAAAGCTTGTGTTACAGGAGTCAGGAAACGCTGATCTCCACTTAGCACTTAGCTACCGCTAACCCAGCCTGATCAACTGGTAATATTAGCATTTTAACGCTGCATGACAGACGTTTTTTTCCTACGAGAATTCCGGACATTAATTCTGTTATCATAACGGAACTACCAGGGACGCCTGAAGCTGGTTAACAAGCCAGAAATAAGCGCTTTATTGCCCGTTAGTTTAGTTGGCCAAGAAAGCTAATCAAAGCCCAATAACGGAAGAGCGCAGCAAAGGACATGCCGCAAATTACACGCTATACCGACAAATTAGAGCAAGAACCTGAACGGGATACCGCCAGTCGAAGGGCTGATTGCCATGTGTGAATCAAGCCAAAAGAGACACGCTTCACAAAGGTCTAAGCCTGTTAGCTTAGTAAGCTAAATTAGCAAGGCTGACAACGTCCGCGGACAAGAATCCAGGGGCACGCCAACTGCTCGACGCATTGTTTGCCTTTGTCATAACTCGTTTTACTGTACAAAACAAGCTCCCCTCATCCATGCTTTCGTTCTTTTTTAAACACAGAAACAGTTTTGTTTACCTGTTTGTAGCTACAGTTTCGCCAACGGCTGCCGGCTTCTTCAGGCTGACGCTGATGAAGAAGCCGGCAGCCGTCGGCGAAACTGTAGCTACAAACAGGTAAACAAAACTGTTTCTGTGTTTAAAAAAGAACGAAAGCATGGATTTAGAAAGACACAGCAAGAACACACCTAAGAAGCTCCCCTCATGTTTTAGTAGTTTTTGACTTTTATTGTGAGAAAGCGGTCTCCACCGGCCGTCCACCATTTTGGACGGCATCACCGAGCATAACGGAGTGATGCACACGAACCCTCCCGCACTGTTGCCTAGCACTCTAATGCCATCTTGTGGCACCTTTAGTACATTACAGTCTTTTTGTGTGTGTGTTTTTTTGGGGGGGGTACATTACATTTAAATTGTTGACAAAACAACATCATCTGAGGATGAGTTGTCCTTTCCCACAGTGGGGAAAGGAATTATTGATGCTGTTTTAACCTGTATAGGTTCTTCAAACCTTGATGCTTGTGGCTACGACGAGTCTTTCGAGCATCTTACACCAGGTGAACTATTACAGAAGCTGCAGGAGCACACAGCCGCCTTACCCGGTGAGGGTGAGAAAGTCAAAGCAGCAACCCGCACGGAGAACCTGGGGTGGTTTGCTCTTCTTCTAGCTCACCTCTGGGATAAGGAAGTTATATACATAACCCTTTTTATCTCAGCCACAAAACTGTACATTTAGCTAAATAACCATGAGTGTATTTATGATGCTGATGAATGGGTGAAAGAGTTAAAGAAACTTCAGTTCATGTACAGCAAACAATGTTGAATAATTTTACTGTTTTATCAGATTTTCCTACCTTTACAAATCCGTTATTTGTTACATCTGTAGAACATTTGATAACTGGACTGTAGTGAAAACTTAATCAACAAGGGGCTGATAAACAGGAACACTCCTGTTGGTCAAAGTCCAGGAACAATATCTCCTTTTAACCCTGAACATAAAACCAAACTCATCTTCCTCTATTGTTCTATCCTCCTCTTTCATACTCTCTCCTTTTGTTTTGTCTGCTCCTCCTCTCTGCTGCATCCCTTCACCTTTCGATTATCCCTGACACAGGCCACATAAATCAAGTCTGCTCTCCACCTCACTCCACTCGTCCCTCTCTAATCTTTCTCTCCACTCCCTAGTCTCCGTATCAGATTGATTTCATTTTGCTCTTTTTGGCCTGAACCTGACACACACACACACACACACACACACACACACACACACACACACACACACACACACACACACACACACACATATATATATATTATATTTATTTATGTTTACTTATTTGGGAGACACTTTTATCCAAAGCGACGTACAATTTATTTAACTTGTAGGGCATGTTGTGATCTGTGGGGGAAACCGGAGTACCCGGAGGAAACCCACGCATGCATGGGGAGAACACGCAACTCCACGCAGAAAGGCCACAGCCGAGTTTAGAACCTGCAACCTTCTTGCTGCGAGGCAACAGTGCTAACAACTGTGCCACCATGCAGCCAATTACACGCTATACTGACAAATTACAAGCCAACCTTTTGTTTCCTATTTCCTCTTAAAAGTCTGTGAAATGAACAGAAAAAATATAGATTAGGATTATTATTTTGGGTACTTTCAGGACCAGAGAATGTTGCTACAACACAAATGTAGTGATGTTTAAAAATAACAAAAGAAAATGATCTGTGTGTCTACTAGGGTGGGAAAACCGGTTCTTGTTGAGAACCCGTTCCCATTGGTTCAAATCCTAGGAATCGTTCGCCACTTTTGCAAATGATTCCCCTCATGAATTCCGGTCTGCGCTAATGACATCACCATGCATGTTGCGGAGCTTACAGAAGCAGGAAACATGGCGTCTAAGCACCACAAATGCTCAAAGTTTTGGTTATATTTTACAAGAAAGCATGACAACCGGGTAACTTGCAATAACTGCAACGTAGATATTTCATCAAGGGAGGAAGTGTTACGAATATACAAAAGCCTTTGGGAAAAAATGCGCTAAAACTTAAAGTTACTGACCCACTCCGGACTAGTGACTATCAATGCAGCTGCAGCGTCCTCTCCTGTTAAGGTAATACCATACCATACCATACCAAGTTTATTTGTATAGCACATTTAAACACGGCATGAGAGCCGACCAAAGTGCTGAACAAAAACACACAATAAAAACAATCAAAAATAAAAACTAAAACCATTAAAATCGAGTAATCCAACTCGAAAAGAAAAGGAGAAAGAGAATAAGTTAGACTGAATTAAAAGCCAACGAATAAAGGCGAGTTTTTAAATGAGACTTAAAAAGGGAAAGAGAGGAAGAGAGTCTGATCAGGAGGGGCAAGTGGTGCCAGAGCTTCGGTGCACAAACCGAAAAGGCGCGCTCCCCGCGGGATTTACAGCGGGAGCTAGGGACATGTAGGAGGTGCTGGTCGACTGATCGGGGGGATCTTGTAGGGACATGAGGGTGAATGAGCTCAGACAAGTAGCCAGGTGCTAAGTTATTGAGGGATTTAAACACAAAAACCAGGATCTTAAACTCTATCCGGAGATGGATGGGGAGCCAATGGAGATTTGCTTAAACCGGTGTGATGTGTTCTTGCTGCCTGGTGCCAGTCAAGAGTCAAGCTGCTGTGTTCTGCACAAGCTGAAGTCGAGCGAGAGTGGCGGAGGAGATACCATATAGCACTGAATTAGAGTAGTCGAGACGGGAAGTAATGAAGGCATGGACAACTGAATGGAGATGACGCCTTTTTAGAATGGGCTTCACTTTAGAGGGACGCCTCAGGTGGTAAAAACAGGTCTTAACTACCTGGTTGGCATGAATGTCCATTTTTAGTTTAGCATACATCACAACCCCTAAGTTTGTGACACGGTTTTTCAACCCACTTGTGATAAAAGGAAGGGTCAGTTGGGGACTTTGAGAAGTCTTAGGGCTGAAAATGATGGCCTCTGTCTTGGCGTCGTTCAGCAAAAGAAAGTTTTCTGACAGCCAGCTTTTCACATCATTGCAGCATTCAACAAGGGGCTGTAAGGAGTCATTAGGCTTCACAGAGGAATATAATTGGCAATCGTCTGCATATAAATGGTAGTCAATGTGGTGTTTTTTAAAAATGTCACCCAGGGGCAAAATATATAAATTAAATAAAAGGGGTCCAAGAATAGAGCCCTGAGGAACACCACAAGTCAAAGCTGCAGTGGGGGAGGCAGCTAGCCTGGCAAGCCAGACTAAATAAATGAATTATTTAGTCTGGCCACGCTCCATTGACGGCTCTCAGTTGTGGGGCGGGTTCTACCGTTGTCTTTCAAATGATCTCCGCATTCCACTGGACAATGAATGTGACATTCTCTTGTTTCACTCTGTTGCATCATCCCACCCACCAGGCATATAGAGTGCCCTGATTGGCCCACAAAGCGGATAAAGCTCTGTGATTTGTTCACTAAGCAGATAGAGCACTATGATTGGCCCACCATTATGGACCAATCACAGCTTTTTGTGTGTTTGAAACCCCTCTAGAGAGCTGTGATTGGCTAGCCAGAGTCCTGGTAGGAGCTGCTGAAGTTCCAATGGAGCATGCCTAGACCAAACTTTGCAAAGCAAGAATTTGGTGTAGTTCACTAGGCTAGGAGGCAGCACTACCCATCATAACATTAAAGCTGCGGTCACAGAAGTAGGACCTAAACCAATCTAAGGCAGTCCCCTGAATGCCGACCAGCTGGTCCAGCCGAGTCAGCAGAATAGCGTGATCAACCATGTGGAAAGCAGCCGATAGATCCAACAAAACCAGCAATACATTAGAACCAGAGTCAAGGGTTAATAAAATGTCATTAAAACACGAAGATGAGCTGACTCAGTGCTATGGAGGGATCGGAAGCCTGACTGGAAGGGATCCATTAAACCATGATCATCAAGATAAGAAATCATTTGGTTAAAAACAGCACGCTCTAGTAGTTTTGATAGAAATGGAAGCTTGGAGATCGGGCAAAAATTACTCATAACAGAGGTGTCAAGGCCAGGCTTCTTCAGAACGGGTTGAACTACTGCATGTTTAAAAATGTAATAACTATCATGTTAGCGTCATTTACCTTACATACACACCTCCACACTAGCAGACTCCAGGGACAGAGGTCTGACCTGTGGTGAGATTTTTCCCACGCTGCAAAAGCTACAGCAACACTGCACCAAACAAGAAGACGACTCTGCCTTCACAGGGAGCATAAAGGAGAACATTTGGAAAGGCCTTCCCAACCGATACAGGTGCAACTGATTATTTATCTGACAGTTAGAAAGCAGGAGCCGTGCACTGTTGGTTCTTTGCCACCTGTTTAACCCTTTGGAGGCAGGCGTTGCAGATTTGCAACTGTTAAAACCTTCCTACCTGGTTACTCCACACAACTCAGAAGTACCCCTGAAGGACGTAGTTGTTCGTCCTTTTATCAGAACTTATTTAGAGCCTGAGAGGGTTAACTACTCTGGAATCGATAAAGAATTGGATCGATAGACACAACTGACAATGTCATTGATATTGATAAGAACGTATCGGTTCCCACACCTAGTGTCTACTTTCTGTTCTTTTTTCTGACGCTGCTCCCGGAGCCTCCACCAAAACCCCCACCTGGTATCTGCTCAACATCTCCCAGAAGACTCCAGGTACCCAGATTATCTCTGCAGGTTAGAGATTATGTTGCCTTTGCTACATGATGTTTTTGTGTTCACACTGAAAAGGTTTCCTGGAGATTTATTCTTGGCTGATGGGACACACACCACTGACCTTCTTTGTCTACGGAAAAGTACATGTTTGGTTATTTATTCATCCATTCATCCATCTATTTTCATCTGCTTATCCGGAGTCGGGCCGCGGGGGCAGTAGCCTAAGTCGAGAGGCCCAAACTTCCCTCTCCCCAGCCACTTGGGCCAGCTCCTCCGGGGGAAGCCCAAGGCGTTCCCTGGCCAGGTGAGAGACATAGTCCCTCCAACGTGTCCTGGGTCTACCTTAAGGCCTCCTCCTGGTTGGACGTGCCCAGAAAACCTCACCAGGGAGGCATCCTAACCAGATGCCCAAACCACCTTAACTGGCTCCTCTCGATGTGGAGGTGCAGGGGGTCTACTCCGAGCCCCTCCCGGATGACCGAGCTTCTCACCCTATCTCTAAGGGAGAGCCCAGCCACTCTTCAGAGAAAACTCATTTCGGCCGCTTGTATCCGCAATCTCGTTCTTTCGGTCACTACCCAAAGCTCATGACCATAGGTGAGGGTAGGAACGTAGATCGACCATTAAATCGAGAGCTTCACCTTCTGACTCAGCTCTCTCTTCACCACGACAGACCGGTACAACGCCCGCATCACTGCAGATGCAGCACCAATCCGCCCATCGATCTCACGCTCCAGTTTTCCCTCACTCGTGAACAAGACCCCGAGATACTTAAACTCTTCCACTTGGTTATTTATTTCGTATATTTTCTGTGCTATGTGTGCTTGGACTCTGTGGATGTGTTGGGTTAGGGTTTGTCTTGTTGTGGGAAACGATTGTGTTAAATGTTTTTGTTATTATGAACTGAAACATATTTGGACTCATGGATGTGGAATGAGCTACAACTGGAGGGTCAATGAGCTCCTTCCCTGCCAAAATTTAAATCACACCTAAAACAGTTTTATTTGTTGGTTTTTAGTTTGGGCTTTTTGTTTTAATGCATCTAATATTATTTTGTTTTTACCTGTTTTATTATTTCGTATGTACATGGGCGTGTCCAGAGAATTTTCAGAAAGGGGCACAAGGGGTACCAACAGTAACCTGGGGGAACCCACAACTGGCAAGAATTAAAGCCCTGACTAACCTCTCGTCCGTATTTAAACTAAACAAAGAGTTATTTTAGACAGTCATCCATGGTAAACATGCATTTGTTCTGCTTCTACAAACTCTTTTCCAGTGAAGTAAATAAAAGAGTTATTTTTGCAGCAGCGGAAACACTTCCTTTATGTGTTTAAACATAAAAGCACCTATGTGCAGCTTCCATCTAAGTGGTAAGCTTTTGTTAATCATTATCTAAGACAATTTGCTTTGGCTAAAGGCACACGTTTATTATATTAAAAACGGAATATTCTCTGAAATTGTAAAGTCAAAGTGTGTATGTACACACACTCTTTTTCTCTACCTTATGCTTACAAGAAATCACTGGAAAAGTGACACCAAACAACCGAGCAGTCAAGGACAGTTCGTCATCCAGCAGCATGCAGGTTGATTCAAACTGGTTCAAACTGGTGTTCCTGCTAAGGTCACTAGATGTCATCCAAGAGGGCTGAGTTAGAAAGCTCTGAGTGCTTCAGCAGGCTTCGTTGAGCCATAGTCCAACTATATCAATAAAACCTTATTGTTGTGCTGATGGATTGATTTCCTGCATTTTGCCTGCGTTGTCGAGTGTTTTCTGTTCTGAATGGGAGTGCGATCCAGGTGTGCACATCGTCAGCATATACTCAGTCTGCAGTTACAAATGTTCATGCAGCACACAGCTGCCCAAAAACGGTCCTCGGGGTACGGGGTACCTCCACAGATTGATTGTATTGCAGCTGAGCCCTCATGCATGTCAAACAGAAAAAAATCACATGGTACCAGATATAGTTAAATATTGACAGATTGAGTCTTAATGGAATAAGAGCAAAGCTATTCAAGGAAATCGACATTTTCAGATGAAGTGTGCTTCAGTTTAAGATCAAACAGCTGCTATGTTAATCAGCTGAGAGTTGCTACTCACCATAGTGGGGGATGATGGCCCAGGCCATGGCTGATGCGTAAATCCCACCAATCATCCAGAACATGCACAGCCAGCTCAAATGTTCTCCTCGCTTCTCCCGGGCCAATACCTCCGCAAAGTATGAGAACACAATCGGCACCGCTCCACCAATCCTGTGAAGTCAGTTTGTGGTCATTCCCTAATTTTACTTCAGGAGCATTCTGTGGTTGCATGACCTGCGTGAGATGTCCTTGCATAGCGCCTTTCAGGGTCAGAGGAGTCCAAAGCGCTTTACACTACAGCGTATCAATAATCCATTCACACACACATTCACATGCTGATGGTGATGATGAGCTACAGCGTAGCTACAGCTGACCTGAAGTGCATTGACAAAACCGAGGCTACCAAGCACAGGCACCAGCAGGCAAGGTGGGTGATGTGTCTTGCCCAAAGACACAACAGCAGTTTCTCTGCTGGGCGTTAGGACTGATCCAACAACCCTCCGATTGCTGGACAACCCCTCTCCTTCCTGAGCTATCTGCTGCCCCTGCAGGACCAGAGTACCATTCTTCAGCACCATTTTGTGCAGACGTCCCATTTGTCACAGTATCTTTCTGGGATTTGGAGATTTAGGTTGGAAACTGATGTTTCCAGAAGTACTAGCATGTCAGGGGGAATGGCCACAGTGACTTAAACAGTTGGCTGATCAGACTCACTTCATTTCTGTTGTTAAAGCATCACTGTATAAGCTCTGTGGATTTCCCCTGAGAGGCTGAGTTTGATCCACATGAATCAGAATAAAATCACAGAAGCTGTCAACTTCCTGAGTCTTCATTCTTCTCATGTTCTGCGTATTTGTTGAGGAAAAACCAGTTATTCAAAAATAAACATTTGTGAACATGCAGTCTTCAGGGGTTGGAGAACCTACAGCTCTGGAGCCACACGTGGCTCAAAATATCTGCTTAGAAAAGATTAAAAAATCATATTTTTATATCTACATATAATTTTAAAAAATCCAGGATTAAACAGCTTGTAAGTTTTTCATTGAATGATTTTGATTAAGCTGCAATAGCAAATGTACAGAACAAGCTAGCTTAAACATGGTCACGGAGCACCCACCCCTCCCATCGTCTATCATCCCGGAACCACACGTTGTCCGAGGAAACGAGCTAGCACTAAACACCAGTTGCCCTTTTCTAGGTCCAAACTTCTTTAGTTGTCCGTGACTTCAAATGGTGATTTTCTTTTTGGGACTTTGGTCGGTTGTCCTAAAGTCGAAGTGGTAGCAGCCGGCTGTTTCTCCTTCTCTGAAATTATTCTCACGCCAGTGCTGTTCTGTTGCTCAACACACATAATGAGACTAGTGACCAATCATTGGTTTTGGTCTTAACCGTGTTCATGGCGGAGGTTTTTAGACATGCGAGAGAACCAATTAATTATTTCTTTTAACTCCACAATATATTTAAAGCTATACTGTGTTAGAATATTGTCAGGAGGCAGCTATATGTTTGGATCTAGTTATATTTTTACATCATTTTCCACTACTAAAAAACTTCCAACATCCAAACTTTTTTGGTGAATTTTTCTCTTTCCTTTATTTTAAATGAATACTAGGAACAAAATGGTGTTTTTCCAAAAGGGCAATAAACCTCCTGTAGAAGAAGTTTACGAAAGAGAAATAAAGATTTCTGTGTTTAATCTCAGAAAAACGTCAGAATCCTTACTTTAATTCTTAGAAAATTAGATATTTTTCAGTGATCCTAATTCTCTTTCATAGATGTTGATCAAGTATTATTTTTTCAAAAGCTCGTGTAACAAATGTGGCTCTAAAAAGTTTTATTTATGTGAAAATAGCTCTTTGGATTGCAAGAGGTGCAACCCCCTGGTATAGAGCTCCGGGAGTTGACGTCACTTCTCCCGGCATACAACAGTTCAAATCGAACAGCGCCATCTTGGCAGGCAGTAGCCCGCAGCTAGGCTATTTGTTATTGTCAGAAAACTCAATCAAACGGGAAATATGGTAGATTCCTGTTGTGCCCCAGGATGCCAGAACAGACGTGGACAAGATAAGGGAAGAGCCTTCTACAGGATTCCCCAAGATCCGGAGCGCCGCAAACGTTGGATCATTGCAATGAAACGCGCTAGTGACCGGGCTAAAATGAAACTGTGGGAGCCCGAGAGTAAAGGTTTTCGCTTATGCAGCGACCACTTCATATCAGGTACTTAAACCAACGTTTCCTCAACTGTATATGGTATTTATTTTAAATGCTTTTATTACGATTCTTAGTGGGCTTCCTAAACTTATTTTGGCGAGGCTTTTTCTGACTCATAGCAACGAGTAAACGTCACGTAAAATGTTGCCTCATGACAACAAACCCTGATTGAGTCCATTTGTATCCCTCCAGGATTTTATATGTTCTTAGAGATGCTCCGGATTAGGACGAGGGAAAATTAACAAGGAAATTATAAATGTCAGGGTATCTCAAATCCGGTAAGAGGTCCTCTCCGACAGCTTCTGGCGTTTTAAAAAGTATCCCAGGGGCATGGTAAGGGTCAGAGATGTTTAGTCTATTTAATTTCTGACTATATAAAACAATTTCTTCAATTTTAAAGCGTGAAGTAAACTCCGACGGAGTAAAATCCAAGCCGATCCCGTTCATTTTGTTTATCTTTGTTGCCTGCCAACATGGCGTCTACTCTCTGAGAGTCAAGTGACGTTCGGAGCTCTATAGATCATGTGAAACAGTTTTCCCACTCTCTTTCTTTCATGGCAGAACTAATGTATTTTCCATAAATCTGGTCATTTAGAGAACTATTTAAGACATAATATAATATTTAATAGTTACTCCACTAGCTAAAATATTCTCACTTCCTCTGTAAGTTTATTTATGGAACAAACAATACTTCACGGTGGCTGAAACAGTCTCTGATCCTGCTCCCTCTGGTGTTTAACTGTTCCTCATTAACAATCTGTTCTTCTCTTTGTGTTTAAGTAAAATCATCATAGAAGCATAATCTGTGCTCTTTGTCCAGATGGACTCAAATGGCTTTTTTCTCCTCCCTGTTTTTCTGAGGCGGTTTATGGGATTAAAGTTAATGAGGTAAGAAAAAGCTTGATGAGACAAGCAGGAGTAAAACTGGCAGCAACTCTCAGAGCTACGTCGAGTTTAGGAAAGTTCAGGATTCTTTCTGGAATCTAAATCTTGCATCAGTTTGGCTCGCGCACGAGGAAAAAAAGGCTGATTTTATTGTGAGAAGATGCTGTCAAACAGCTGAGGTGGGAGGTGAGGTCATTCATCACAAGTGTGGAAGCCAGGCAGACAACACTAGCGTCAAAGTGTGCAGATGTTCGTTTATAGGGACAGCAGTGGCTCAGGAGGTGGAGCGGGTTGTCTAGTTATCAGGAGGTTGCAGGTTTGATCCTGGCTCTGATCAGAGAATGCTGCTGTTGTGTTCTTGGCCAAGACACTTAACCCACCTTCCTTTCTGGGGGTGGTTGTAGGGATCGGTGGCGCCAGTGTTCAGCAGGCCTCGCCTCTGTCAATGGGCCTCAGGGCAGCTGTGGCTACGTCATAGCTCATGCCCACCAGTGTGTGAATGTGTGTGTGAATGGGTGAATGACTGATTGTGTTGTTAAGCACCTAAAAAGGCCATTGTGTTTGGTTCGTTTCTGCAAATGTTTCTGTATCGCTTTGTTTTTCCTCCACTTCCAGCTCAAGAGGACGAGCTGATGCCAGGCAGCTAGAAACCTTTTGTCTTGTGGCTTTAAATGAGGAACGGCAGGACAGGAGGTCAATGAAAAGGACAGATCGGCCTGCAGAAAGGGAGCAGGAATCCTCCAGGGGACTTGATTCTCATTTACAATGAACTGAAAAGAATGAACAGTAGGAAAATAATGAAATGTAAAGGTTAGGTGAACTCACCCAAAGCCAGACACCATGCGGCAGAAGAGGAACATGCTGTAGCCTTGGACGAAGGAAGAGAGGAAGGCAAAGAAGCCGTTGACAGACATGGAGATCAGCAGGCACTGCTTACGTCCCACCTTGTCTGACAGGCCACCCCAAAAAAATGCTCCAAACATCATCCCCAGGTACACAATGCTACCTGGAGAGGGGGGTGCAGGGAAGACAGGGAGGAATAAAAGAAGAGTCAAAAGCTGAGTACTTACGTCCGTCCAATCTAAAGGTATATCTCTTTTAAGCACCTACGCACAAACCTTTTAGCACCTTGCTCTGTCAAACCCTCAAGGTCTTTTTGCAGAGTTTGTATTTAGTTCTTTATTTTACTAAATAATTTCGTTTAACATATTTGGATGCTGTGGTAGACGATGCTCTCTGGCACGGGCTTTCCAAGGTCTTGCAAAGCCCGTGTAGCTACGTTGGTCCCAGTGATGGTTTCTCGTGCAGCGCTGCCTGAAGGCTCAAAGATAACAGTCAGCCAATAATGTTCGCAGCTGGAGACTTTTAGAAATGTAAACTACATATATTTACATTTACGGAGTGGCTAAATGTTTTAGTGGTTTCTCTGCTCCAACACATTTGATTTAGTGCTTTAATCACCTGTGCAGCAGCTCATCAGGCTCTGCAGAAGCCTGTTAATCACCTGCTGATTGAAATTGGGTGTGTTGAAACAGAGATCAAACTAAAACGTGCTGGACACCGGCCCTCCAGGCCCAGAATAGAATACTCTTGTTCTAGAGAGTCGACATGTGTGCTTGGAAAATAAGACCAATGCATGGTCACTGCAGATGAGTGAACACAGTGTTTTTGTTTTTAATTGACTCAACTGAAGATGTGTTTGAAGTCTTGCGAGGAACCATCGAGAAAATCCTTATCAACCCTCTCAGGCTCAAAATAAGTTTTGATAAATGGACGAACATCTAAGTCCTTCAGGGGTACTTCTGAGTTAAAAATTGCTCATGAAATACGTATGTGGAGTAACCAGGTAGGGTTAGGTTTTAACGTTGCACAGCTGCAATGCCTGCCTCCAGAGGGTTAAAAGTTCTGGAACACAAATGTGTATAAAGAACGAATTAATCCTTTCACAGGAGGGATCCTACCAATCAAACCATTAAATGGGTGATGATTTTTAACCCTCCCACTGTCCTAATGGGTGTGACCCCACGAGGAAAGTTGACCATTGAGCAGGATTGATGGTTTATCCCTTGAGGTCCACGTGGCAGGGGTGAGGTGGTGTTCAGTCCTCACCCCTGCCACGGGGGCCCAAGGGATGAACCATCAACCCTGCTCAATGATCAACTTTCCTCGTGGGGTCACACCCATTAGAACAGTGGGAGGGTTAAACAAAAGTAATGCAAAGACTCACTAACTCATTGTGTGGCTTTTCCAGGTGTACATTTGAATTTTGTGATTCCGATCGATTCTCAAAACTCTTAAATGGGATGATTGCACCTGAAACTGTTTTCTGCTCTGCTGTGGGTTCCTCGCATTTGAAATTATTTCATTTTAAGGTTCCTTTGGGTGGTTGATCTCTCAATGGTCCAAATGCCTTCAAGGACCCCCCCATCCTTCCCCTCAGAAAAATCAAAATATGTGTTTAATATAGTCCCTTCTAGGGTTCTACAACCCCCCAAAGTCATTCACACCCACACTGGTGATGATGAGCAGCCCTGGGGACACTGATGGGCATGAGGCTGTCGTACGCAGGCACCACCGGTCCCTCAGACCACCAGCGCAGGCAAGAAGGGTAAAGTAGCTCAACTGCTACAGAAGAGGCTCTAACCTGCAACACTTTGGTTATGGGACTGGCACTTAACTGCCTCCCCAAAGATCAAGTTTTACCTGAACTCACTCCAAAGTTTAAATTTATCTTTTTAAATCACATGTCAGACGTGGCCCGCGAGAGATTAAAGTGTCTTAAAATAAGTTTATGCTGCTTCAAAGCGCACATTGACTATAAACTACATTTCCCATAATGCATGGCGATTGTGCTCCCAGTGTAGTGACTCACCACTAGGTTGCAGTGTATCCACTTCCATGTTTAAGTAATGCAACAAGTGAAAATAACTCCACACATTATCCCAAAATGCCCAGGAAGAGAGAGATTGATGCAGGAGGAAGGGTGTTTCAACCAAGATGGAACATGTTGATGCTTCAAGGAGAAAAACCGGTATGTCTTTACAGTCATTAGCGTTCATGCAACTAGCATCATCTGCAGCGTTACTTCCTTCGCCTTGGACAAACTGAAAACACTCCTCTTACTCACCGCCACGTTTATTCAGCAATTAGTCGACAGCTCGTTAATCTGTTTGCTGACAATAGAAAGCGCACCGACCAACTTCCAGACCGAGATGACTTAACTCCAGTTTAGCGACACGCTCAAGTCACTATGACTCTGTGGCTGCTGCAGCTTTTATCCCCCTCCCCGACACAACTGCGTGGTCCAGATGCTCTCCATGTCCAGCAGCACAAACCTGTGTGAGCACCTGTTTCTCACTGATGAACTCCTTCCTCAGCTCAGAGCCCAACCCCACAGATGCAGGTCAGGCTGGAACAGGTGAGCGTCACAGGAAATCAGAGTGGAGAAAACTGGGATTGAATTGTTTTGGTTTTATTAACCTTTTCTGCTCCAAAGCATGAAAGTTAATAGGTGAGAAATTGCATTTTCATTTAAGAGAATTACTATTCTTATTTATGTTGTTGGCCTGTGAAAATAAATTAAACCTACTTTAAAACAGGAAAGATTACAGATAGAAGAATAGAAATAGAAATAAAATAGAAAATCCCTTTATTGTCCCTCAGTGGGGAAAGCTTGGTGTCACAGCAGCAATAACGTTCATTACAGGAGCAACAAAGGAGAGTAAAAAATAAACCAGAAACATAAAATAGAAACACTTAAAAGATTCAAAAGTTAAAAAATAAGAAGAAATGCTGAATATATGCAGATTTTAAGGAGTAAAATACATATTTTAAATTTGAGACATAAGTAATGAATACCACTGGTGTGTGCTTTATTTAAAATCGACTTGCTCGTGTGTCATTTGGTTATTCCACATTCAGTGTTACTGCAAAAATAAGTTTGTTTCCAAATAAAAAGGTTCAACCGTTCATATCTGCAGATAAAGGAAAATGTGCACATTTGCCGTCACTTTTTAAAAAAATATTGAGTTTGGCCCGCGACTTCGTCCCGGTTTTTCATTTTGGTCCAGTGTGAACTTGAGTTCGACACCCCTGTTTTAAACAATCAGTCAATCAGAAGCCATTCATAAAGATGCATTTTTTAATCGATGGTGAATCAGTTAGCCCACTAAACTTCATGTAAATGTTTATGTCTGCTGACTTGATGAAACCAGCACTATTGCACTCAGCATTTTATTTTTTAATACATTTAATTCTATGAATTCACAGGAGAAACACAGTTTAGTTTCCTCAGCACTTCTGTAAGCATTCTGCCACTCTTCCTTTTGCTGCAGAGCAGCAGGCAGGAAGTTTGACTCACCAGATCATTCCCACTGAACTCGAGTCCGGCTGTGAAACCGTTAACTGAAACAAAGTGTGAAAGAAGCGGCAGAGCTGAAGCATTAGGGATTCTCTGCCGTGTCGTGACTTTGCAGGTTTTTGTCACAGAATCCTATTAAAACTCACTTTGTCCATTAAGATGTCTTCTAAACGCATCGCAGGTCTGTTCAGTCACTCCGAGCTACTGACAGAACTCAGAGTGAGTCTATAAAAATAACACAACGGGGATCGATTCGTTGAACTTGGCTGAAAGCCACTGTGGGAGTTTATTTTACAACACTTCTGTGTTCACGGTTTGGTACACTGCTGCAATAAATAAGTCAATCAGTCCGGAGTCCCTATTTTACAACCAGATATAGGGATATAATCAGGAAGCATACATGCGACCATAGAGTCTATGAGGAAAAAGCAGGAGGCAGAGCTGGAGGCTGCAGAGCTCAAGATGTTGAGGTTCTCTTCGGGAGTGACATGGAGAGGATTTGGACTGAGTCCATGAGAGGGACAGCTCGTTGATGTTTTAGAGGTGAAGTCAGAGAGGCCAGACTGAGATGGCTAGATGTGTCCGGAGGAGAGATAATGATAATGGAGATAGGAGGCTGAGGTTGGAGTTGTGAGGCAAGAGGCTGAAAAGGAAGACCAGCAAGAAGATTTTTGGATGCGGTCAAACATGAACCCATCGAGAAGAAACTTGGGAGTAAATGGTGGAAGAGAACTTGTAGCAAGCCTCCATCGCCTCACGTTCTGATTGGCTGCAAGTCACATTCAACAGGCAGCATAGGGCCTTGAAATAGGGCCAAGACATTCCAACGTTATGGATATCCTCGACTGGAGCGATCCTAACACTGTTTGGAGCGGACCAGGGGCCTCATTTATCAAGCTTGCTTACGCGCAAAACGGGGTTGGAAAACTGCGTTAGCAACATTCCATGCAAACTTCAGGATTTATGAAAGAAAACTTAGCGGAAAAATGTGCGCAACTTTAAGTTGACTAAGGACCTGGCTTACGCACATTTTGGACATGGAGAGCACCTGCAGTGCTGCTGCTGAGAAGGATAAAATTATGAAATCCTGCAGCATTATCACTTGTACTGCTTCGTTTTCACACAGAACAAGACCCCCACACGTGCACGCGCATTCACACACATGCACGCACACTCACACACACACACAAATGTGTGCGCACACTCACACGCACACACACACGCACACACACACACACACACACACACACACACACACACACACACACACACACACACACACACACACAGCCTGAAGCCAGAATACGGAATGTAGAATATCAGCGGGGGACAGATTGAGACAGAATGTCATGCGTCTGTGACAGTGTGTGTCCTGTCACTGTGACCCGACTGATCATGCGCCCTGGCTACTTGGTCAAGGGAGATCTCCGTTTGGGTGACTGGTTAGCACATGTGACTTTCACCTTGGAGACTGGGGATCAAATCCTGATTGGACCATTTTTTTAATATCCGCCACAGATCTCTCTGAAGAATTCACAACATTGACGGCTTCAGCAACGCTGTGCCACTCCGTAGATATTCTCTTATTTGTTTTGCAAAAGTACTTCCTTTCCTTTCTCCACCTCACCCACAGGTACCTCAATTTC